TCTGTCTCCTTTAGGTGTCTGCAAACATACACCGAAGCCTCAGGCTGATGGATTGTTCCTCTAGAGAGGTATACTGAGAGGAAATCGGGTTTCTTTGCCCTTTTGCAGAGCGTTTGGCATCTCCCCGAGCAATGACACATTTTTTGTCACCAACAACATGAAAATTCCTATGTGGAAGCATTTTTTTGCTTCTGTAGATATGGATGCTTGGGTGAAATGAAGAGATCACATAATAATAAGGAACAGGGCCATTACCAGCAAAACTCATTTGTTATCTGCTGTCAAGCCTCAGCAGTGGAGGAAATAGAGTCATCTGTGTGCCCTAATGAAATGTGACAGACATTTACAGACCGAAGGCTGATATTTTCTGACAGCATCACCATCTGCACTCCGAAAGCTGCTAGTATCCGGACATCATAATCTGCTGTTGGCTGTTTATTATTGTACCTCAAAATCGCAGGTCACGCAGATCCTGGACTTACATGTCATCAGCTTTGTGTGCAGTCCCCTTACCTCAGCTAGGATCTTAATTCTCAGTATATCACTGTGCTCTCTAGTTTGATGTTTAACTTTACAAATAATCAAGCCAATAGCCTAAGATGTAGATATTTGAAAGGGAAAAAAAAAGAAAGGAAGAAAGAAAAAACCTTCTAGCCAACCAGTAGGGAAAATAGATGTTAACCTAATTCTTACCAGGGCAGATGGAGTTATATAATCTGATTTCCAAGAGTAAGTGATTTTTCAAAGAAGTAAGGTTTTAGTATATATCATGAACGGCAGATTTTGCAGCTTCAGAATTCTAATGTGGCAGTAGTTTCTACAATCCTATGCACAATGCAGGCACAGGGAACAGCATTAAAGAAAAAAAGGTGCAATAAAAACAGGGGGGTTTAGCTTAGTCAAGAAAAAATATGTTATTCCAGATATGCGAGAACACAGAGAATAAAAAAATTATTTTTTTAAAGCAGTTTTCAGAACAAGAGAAAAAGTGACCTTGAAAAAAACCAGTATAGGTTAATTGGAGAAAAAAAAAAAGGCACAGAGAAACCCTTAAAAAAACCCCAAAGAGTAGGAGTTAACTTCACTTTGCAGACTTCAAGATTTCCTTGCATTATAAGGAAGAGGAGAAAAAGCTGAAGGCACAAGTCAAGTTAGCGAAGATGTGCTACTTTGGCCTTGAAAAAAATGTTTTTTCTAGGTAAAGTCCCCTGAAGAGGGGTCCTGAATTTTCAGCTTGTTTCCTAGAGTGCTGAGTTTGCTTTCCTCCCCGGTAGTAAACATGGGCACTCAAGGTCTTTTTTTTTCTTTTAATAATTGAATAAACAAAACACCAACACAATCTCACATAAAGAGGAATATTTCTGATCAGGTAAAATCCTAGTGCCTTCTGCAAAGTTCTATTCCTCAGAGCCTGGCTTGAGACATGCTGCTTTCTTATCCGCCCAGCTCCTCTGAGCACAGTGATGAGCAAGCTGTCACCTGACTCAGGACTGATCTTTGAAGACACATTTAGCAAACAGAAGGAAGAGTTTGTATATCTCCTGAACTCAAAGAAGCTCTTGACTTCATGGCATCTGAATGTCTCAAACACTGAGGTAAAATAGAGATTTCAAACCTTGTGTTCTTTCAGCTAGTTACCAAAAGGAAGCATGCCATGGGGCTGGTTTCACAGAATCATCTAGGTTGGAAAAGACCGCTGAGATCATCAAGTCCAAGCTTTGGTTGATGACCACCTTATCAACTAGACCATGGCATTAAGTGCCACATCCGATTGTTTTTTGAATACGAAAAACTATAAACTTGAGGATGATGTAAGTACACACTGTGCCTTTGCACCTCTGGTATCTCAGATATCTGTTTTGTGGACCTCCTGTCGGGAAGCAAATACATAAATACATGAAAATAAAGAAACACAAGGTCAAGAGAGGAGCCACAAAAGCAGCACTGAGAGTGTCATTTTCCCAAACAGCAAAGCTCTGTCACTCCCTGCAGGTTTCAGTGACCTAAATAGAGGAGGACAACAAGATTCCTTGTTCCCGCCTATAGATTTAGCAAGTCTAATGCTCAGTAAAACAAAGTGGTTGTAGAAAACTATCTACAGTTCTGGAAAATATGATGGGAAGAAATACAAGATCTGATAAAAAGTTTTACTTAAGGTTACTGGACCGCATACATATAAACTTCTTCATCTAGTGGAGTACAAACATACTCAGCAATGTACATATTAGACCTGAAAGTCTGCTGTTCTACTATAGTGGGTAAAACTAGGTATGTGGTCAGTGGAAGTCAGTTGGAGCTAAAATCTGTGACAAGTCAGGACAAACTGTGTCCCAGGAGTAGGTTTTCCCTTGGAAGGCAATATTGAAGATTACAGCTTTATGGGTAATCCCTCAGCAAGAGATAGCAGGCAAGCACTGGCTAACAGTGTCCTTCCTCCTTGGAAATAACTACTTCTGTGGGAAAGGGTCAATATCCCACCAATGAGGCAAAGAAGATTTATTATATTCACTCTCCCCGTTAGGAAGCAGATGGCTTTCATATTTCATCTTGTAGCTGAGGATTTTTAGAATGAGCTGCTTCATGGGAAAGAAATGAGGGGGAACAGCATTAGTAGGAGCTATGTTTACTAAGCAATTACAGGGCAAGGGCATCTACTATAGCAACTGGAGACAGGGTCTAAACATTCTGAGATGCATGTGCAAACAGAAGAGCAGCTCTTTGCTCCATAGGGCAGGAGCAAATGTGTCACCTTGCCAAAAGACACAATTCAAAGTTTTCCATAGACACAAGCAGGTAGCACTTAAGTCTTCAGAACAATACAGTAGTGTTCATTTTCCACCTCATATAACAAAGCAAGCAATTACAGTCTTCACTAGCTGGTATTTCTAAATGGGGTTCAACTCTCAAAGCACTCATGGAATATTTTCCTTAAAGCTACCAGGAGTGCCTTACTCTAACATTTTAGAATTAGCTCAGTTCAGCTTTGAATAGCTGGGTTCAGTTTCCATCTTTCATAAGAGTCAATTGTCTCTCTTTCTGTACAAGCTCTACACTGAGCTACTGTCACAGCATGTGTGAATGATTCATGATGATTTGCCCACATGGCCTCTGGCCTCCTGCTAGAGGCAATTGAGGGAAAAAAAACCTCACAAAACCCCCACCACAACTAGAGCACCCCCCCCCCCCCAAACTTCCTTCTCTTTAGAACATCATTTATTGTTGTTACTCACCTTTAGTAAAAGGAAAGACAAAAGCCATACCACAATGTAATGTGTAACACCACAGGGGTTCTAATCAAACCCAAACTAAACACGAACTATTGTTGTTTTAGTGTTAAAACTAGCAAGCTCATATAATAAAATCCAAGTGGCAAGTCACTGGAGGAAAAGTTATTAGAAAAGAAAAGCTGATTATGTTAATTAAAGAAAAAAATCTGCTTGTCAGACAAGAACAGCTTAGAAGCAAATAGATTTAAAATATGTATCTATTTCTTGGTGTTCCCTGGAGCACTCAAACACTAGTATGCAAGTATGTGTGCTCATGCATTAAGTCTTAAGGATTAAAGAATTGCTGGGTAAGTTGACTAAATCCAGGGAAGATTCAGTGGTCTTTAAAAATAAAATCCCATGTGTGTCCACAACGTTTTGTGAATAAAGCTCTGGAAGCAGAGAATAGAGACCTTATTTCTACTGATTTTGACACAGCAGTATACACACAAATTAAAAACCTATTAGGCCTCAGTTACCCCCTTTGTTCTGGAAAACCCAAAATAGCGAAAAAGATTCTGCCAGAGCAGAAGGTTCCAAAAGCCTATGAAGAGAAACCCCATCCATTAGAAACTAAACTCCATCAGTACTGCTACTCACTCCTTACTGAGTGTCAGGTAAAGAAGATATTTACCAACAACACAAGTTTTCTCCTCACTCCCACAAACTCTTTTAACAACTCGATCCCTGTGTTGCAGAAACCCATTGAGAGAAATTAGGTTATGTCAAGAGTCAGGTTTTCATTAATTTAATTTCTTTTCAGACCTGAGTGGATAACCAAGAGACTTAGGGTGAATCCCACATACTTTCAGGAATTTATTGTACTTTCTCTTATCCTTCCCCCCAATTGAAATTAAACTGTTTTCAGAAAAGCCTTCAGTAATGACACATTAATCCCTGCATTTGATATTAACACCCATTTAAAGAAAAACTGCAGCGTATTTCATGGTAGTAATATTGAGAATAGTTACCTAGCAATTTTACTTACCATTGTAGACATACTACATTCTGAAACATTTAAAAAATGTCAACAAAAACCAAAATAATGAGACACAACATGAGTAGAGACAGTAATATTTTTAGGTGGTTGTTTGTTATTGAATAAATATTCAAGAATTTTCAACTCTTAAATATAATATTATCACAAAATGCTTTTATTTTTCTGAAATGATAAAATTAATATGGCTGTTTCCAAGTCACAGTTGTTGGTTTTATTTATTTTAGAGCAAGGAATTTCCAATGTAACCACACAGAACCAAAAACCAAAACCAAACCACCAATGTACAGTGGCATTTAGTAATCTCTTACAACATTCTGCTGTGACCACGCGAATTTCCATTTAAGCATTGCTGCTTGATTACCCTTACAAAGAATAGCACAAGTATGGTAATAAAATTCGGATCATCAAACTGACTGAAAACATAGCAAGTGTAGTGCAGGATTGCCACAGACACATGACTGTTCTGTTCTTTTGGAGTTGTGATAAATACAATTTCACATAGTTGTACAACCCTCTACTTGCCACTGTAAGTGCTAAAATGTGGTGAGTTTGTTTTAAATACCTATAGATACCATTTTGATTGTCTCGTACTTGTAAGATATGAATTATTGTCCTGAATAATGCATTCATTACTACAAATCTCATGAGCACAGTTTGCTTCATGAGACTTGTCTAGTGAATCTGAAAACTGCTTCCCCTCTTCTGACAGGAAAAAACAGAGACATGTAAGGTACTAAGAGTTTCTTTAGGCATTCTTTTTTATTTGTAGAAAGACCTACATCACATCTGTAATAATTTCTAAAGTCTGTATTTTCTTCAGAAAATATAATCTGTCACTGAAGATAATACCAAAAAATACCCACTTTCATCATGTAGTAAGCATGTAATGAACCAAGGGTAAAGTTTACTTTTGTGCAGTTTTCTCTCATGTAGCACAAACCTCAGTTGCACATCCTGGATGTAAGTGGTGTGTGGAACATCTGTTGTCAATAGGAAATACTAAATGCATGCTCTAACTTAGGAATGTATACTCTAGATTGGAGACACATCATTTGGCTCTCAGGGAAAACTACACTATTTAAGATGCAGTATTTGTTTGTCCTCAATAGGAGACTATAGAAAACTTCCTCAAGGCTTTGCTAGGCTTCCTACCATTTTTAGTTTTCCAAGATATTAGACTTCTGATGGTATCGGTATTCTGACAGTGGTGGACATGACTGTTAAATGGTTGAGTAATAGTGTGTCTGAAAGGACTAGGACAGTAAAGAGATATTGTAGAACAGTATAGTGGGAGGAGTGGGACCAGGAGTGGAATAGGGTCATATAAAGCAGTGGCAAAAGCCTGGACTCACTGGCTTTTGAAATTATTCTTTCTCTAAAATGATTAATTAAAAAAAACATGACATACAAACAAGTTTTAAAATTATATGAAGATCATTAACGTAATTACCAGGAATACAAAAAAACCCCAACACAAACACATTTCAAATTTATAGTGTCAAAAAACACTAAAGGAGTAGAATATTTTCAAAGAAATTGATATGTTAGATATCTCTCCTTCCTGCAGCATTGTAGGTGAGTCCATGGCAAACACTGTTTTGCACCACAGAGTCTCTCCAAAAGGTTTGCTTTCTCTCATCCACTGGACTTGCCTGCTCGTCAGACTCAGAATTGAACCTTTACTCATGATCAGTTTTCTTAGGCTCTCAGAAAGCAAAGATGCAAAGAGTGCTTAAAAAAGAGTTACCTCCCAATCAAAGGTGAACTGACGAAAAAGCTAATGGTAAAACAATTACTATTAAAACAAAACCACACATGCCTCAAGACCCAATCACTTTCACCTTTCAGTTTGCTTGGCTAAAAACATTCACGCAGTGTCTACAGAACTGAACCATCTGTGTACTTGGAATCCGAGTCAGTTTTCATTATTAGATGATTTGAAACAACTTTAATCATATTGAATTCTTCTTTTAATTTTTAAGTGAAAGAAGATTGAGCTTAATTATTATCTTGTATGAGTCAGTGCTGTTAAGTTAAAAAAAAAAAAAGAAAGAAACCAAGCAAATTTAAAAACTTAATATTACAGTATGTGGCTATTAATGGCTAAGCCTCTGGCCATGATGAATCCGAAATTGTTTAACACAAGCAACAGGACACAGTAAGTAATAGCCAATTGCTTAACCCACAACCGCTTTGAGAACCACCTAGCTGAGTAGAAAAATAGTTCGCAGTTTTGCAGAACATCTGCTTCTCTGTATTTCTAGGTGCATTACTACAGGAATTCAGTTGAAGCAGAGCTACAAGCCATTTCTAGAATTAAATACACAGTTATTAATTTCAGACATATAATAGCGCAATCATCATTACAGAAAGGGAGCATAAAAGTGAAGGGAACGTTTATTTAATTTGTATTTTCTGAAACATCATGGATTTCTTCAGCTATATAGAGCACTTAAAGGGTAAGCTCTGTATTACCAGCTTAATGCAGTGCTATTTAAGGTGAATCTATGTTACAATTGCAAATATATAAAGTCACTTTATGCACAGCAGGTGAGAAATATCTACCGTGACAGAATTCAGACACAGTATATTTTCATCCTTCAAGATATTAATAAATTCAACCCCTTTTTTAAGACACTCCAGTCTTGTAAATCAAGCCCCAGAAAAGCTGCAAAACTGAAGAATATATTGGTGAACTCCTTATCATTGCATCAGTTTATCTTCTTTCAATATCAAGAAAATTAAAAGGAATAGTTGAGGCACAAGTGATTTTTATGCAGAAGTATAGAAGTATTTCAAATAAGTAGACTAAAACTTCAGTACTTATTTTAACTTTCTTAAAAAAAGACAGAGATCATAGGTATATGATCACAGTAATAGATCACAGTTACTGCAGTCTTACTCTTTTTTTTCCTAAGATGAAAAAAGAAATTGGCTCACAGAACTTGCCAAATCCACTTTATACTCCATTTCACATAGCTCATGTCTAATCAAAGCAAAGCACAAACCCATGCTTCAAGGGAGTCTGAAATCATTCTGCTATACTTGACAGTAAACTATTTCTTCGGTAAAGACAACTTCAGTGAACCCATTTGCTCAAAGAAGAGTCCATCCAGCTGAACTGACATAAATGTTGCACGAAGAACTTAACATGAAAGTGCTCTGACAACAAGTTTTTGAGAATAAGTTCATATCATAAGAGTTTGTGCTTGAAACTACTTTTATAACTATGGTTATTGTTTCTGTTAAGAGGCACTGCATAAGTATGGAGTTATTCATCTAATGCACTTAATATTTCTCAGCTGAGGACTATTGCAGTTTTACCCTATGTCTAGGTGTGATAATACTTTGGTTTGCTTTACAACAGTAGCATTGCACTGGCAATACAGCTGATACTAAAGAGAAGGCTGAAAACTCTGCAGACTGGAGGACTGAAAAAACCCAATCTGCTCCCTTACTTCTTTTCATGCTTCTTGGTTAGTTTTCCCCTTTCTAGCTGGAGGCTTGTACTGTTTGTTCGCTTCTCCTTTTGCTGGCTCTCCTGGGAAACTTGCTGCACTGCTCGGAGGATAGCAGTCTGCACAATCTGCTTGCTGGCGTTCTGCAGCTTAACTTCATCTTGCTCCGTCCCTGGCTTCTCACCTGCCAAAGCCAAAAAAGAAAGAAAAGGAACTAAGTACTTGGGACTACTCTGTGAAAACATGAAGGACAGAAAAAGAGAAAAGTACCCAACAAAACAACCAAACCACAGAGTGCCTGGGGAGAGTTTATTACATAAGAAACCTGCCAATACAGAAGACAAATTAGGGTAGAAAGTGCCCCTGTGTGCTCAGTGCTACAGGACTGAATGAAGGGGGAGACTGAGTCATACAGCTGAGTTACCCACACCCCAGCTCTGGGGACAGCTGCGACTTCACAGCTGAAAAAAGCACAGATACATTTTGCAGTAAGACAGGAAATGAGGGTTTTCTCATCCAGCTGTTAATCACATCCTTTTTGACTTGAGCTGTGTTTCTGGACAGGGAATTGGATTTCAATTTGCAAGCCTGACATGTACTACACCACATTACAGAAAAAAATCTGTTTCATTAACATTTCTGTTTACTATTACTTCAGATTAAAAGCCCTCATCCATCAAATTCTAACTGACTTCAACGTACAAAATTTTGTTAAGTGCAGTTTATTAATCCTTAGCTAGGTTTTCAAAGATATCTGCACAACATTAAAAAAAGCTCAGATTGCTATACATAAAACAGAAAACACTTTCTATAGCAACCTGACAAAATACATATTTCTTATGTGAAACTTCCTTGTTTTGCCAGAAAGTTTAATCTGGAGAACAAAAAAGTAATGTAGTGCGACTACTGACATTTGGTAATGAAGAAGAATAGTTTATGTTAAGAGGTTTCTCTTTAACAGTGTTTTGATTCCTAACACAAATGACAATTCAGACAATAAAAAGTGCTCCATAACATTCAAAGTTATCTTGATTAAAAAATATATATTCTGAATTAAGGTGATTTACACCTATTGGCATTTAGGAACTCAGTTGCCAATTGAAATTCTTAGTCTAGGTGCTTATTTACATCATTAGATTTAATTTTAAAGGTTTTGAAGACACTGATCTCAGTTCTTTCTTAAATGACTGATATGCTCAAGAATTTAATTAAATAGTATTTGTATTTTACTGTCTTTTTTAATGACATGTATTAAGAATTACATCCTGAGAGAAATCAGAGTGAATTAAAGGTCAGTTGCTTTTATGAGAGGTCCATATCTGGAACCGTGATAAATTCCCAATGTTCTTTCAGGATAAAAAGATAGAAGCAGGATAAAGACAGAAACAAAAGGAGAATCACTAGTTTCCTTAAGGAATACACTATTAAGATGTGATATGCTTGGGGTCCTGCACCTGGGTCAAGGCAATGCACAATATCAATGCAGACAATGAATCGGTGGTGAATTTATTATGAGCAGCTTTCTGAAGAAGGACGTCGAGATAGCCGTAGACAAAATAGTGGAAATGAGAAGGCCATGTCTGCTTGCAGCCCAGAAAGCCAGTTCTATGATGGTCTATATAAAAGAAGAGTGATCAGCAGGGCAAGGGAGGTGATTCTACCCCTCTACTCTGCTCCCACGAGATTCTGGAGTAGTCAAGGTCTGGGGTCCTCAGCACTGTAAAGACATGGACCTGTTGGAACATGCCCAGAGGAGGACCATGAAGATGATCAGAGGGCTTAGATGACTGTCCTATGAAGGCAAGCTGTGAAAGCTGGGGTTGCTTAGTGTGGAGAAGACAAGACTCTGGAGAGACCTTATTATTGCCTTTCAATACATAAAAGGGACTTACAAGAAAACTGGAGATTTTTTACCAGGGTAAGTAAAAGGTCTGAAAGGACAAGGAGCAATGGTTTTAAACTAAGAAGGTAAATTTATACTGAATGTAAAGAAGAAATTTTTTATGATAAGAATGATGAGACACTGGGAACTGCCTTCCCAGAGCTGTTGTGGATGCCCCATCACTGAAAACATTCAAGATGCGGTTGGACACGTTTTTGAGCAACCTGATGTAATAAAAGATGTCCCCGCCCATGGTAGAAGGGTTGGACTAGATGATCTTTGAAGGTTCTTTCTGACCCAAACTGTTCTGCGAGCCCAAAACAATGAGCTGCAAAACAATCAAAGCTCACTCAATGAGAAAGGAATAATTCACTATCTCCCATCTCTCTCTAAAAACAAATACTTATTTTTATCATGTTCATATTATACATGTTTTGCTTAAAAGCAAAATTAAAATGTTGTTTAATTCTATTGAAACTGAATAATTAAAAAGAAATCCTGCAACTGTATTGTGATGACAAAGTTTGTCTATAATTAAGAGGTTAAAAATGTGAAAACTTAGAAAATATGCTTTAAACTGGAAAAGCTGACTGAAAGGAATCACTTGAATTCTTGGTACTATCAGCTTCCCTGATTCAGCTTTTCCCACTCCTTAGCACTTGAAACAGTGTTTTTTTGAATAAAATTCAATGTTACTTAACAGTAAAGTATAGATACTTCTTTATTACTCAAATATGAACTCAATTTTATTACACAATTGTAAGGTGATAAAAATTAATTAGTCTTCTTGCAGAGTTGATCAGTCAAGTCAGCTGATGTTCAGAAGATAATATATTAACAAAAGCATAGATAAACATGAAATTCTAAATACAGATGAGTATGTTGTAATGGTCTATGATATTATGTGTAAAGTGAAAAATTTGCCAACCCCTAAAGCCATAAACCCCCAGAATTTATTGCTGAAAAGATACTGTCATTAAGTACATTGCTGTTGAAAATGACTCAGTTTTCTTTCCTTAGGGATGCTTTGGCCCTTGCCATTTAATATCTGCAAAATCTGAATTTTAAATACTTTTACATGAGGAAGGTCATTCACAGCAACACCCAGCTGAAAAAAGGATAGTTTTCCAGGGAATTTCTATCTTTTTCAGTTGTTTATTTTGGAGTAAAACCCATGTGAAAGCACCACTCAGATAAGTGAGATGTAGTTTTCATCTGCTCAGCTTTAGATTAGCAGCTCACTAGATGATTCTTTTATTTGCTGAGATAACCAAGAACAGAGAATTCAAAACCCCTGGACTACTTCTGCCCTGCCTCTGAGGGCTTAGATATGCACAGAAAGGAAATAAGGTAGCTCAAACAAATTTAATTTATATTTGTGTAACTTTTAGATAATAACAGCTAACTGACTTTGGACATGGAGAGAGCCAAAGCTGTTGGAGTGGGGGTGATGTGACCAATGAGACCAGCTTCTGCTGACCATCTAAGTTAGAAAGCAAGTGAAAATAATAGTTATTTTTGAGGGGGATATCTGGCGCTGTGTAGAGGTCCAAGACTATTATGTGCAGAAGCTGGACTGCCAACTAGAATCCAGACATGTTAAGCAGCAACCCTGGGTGTGTGTTATTAATTACAGCTGGCCCATCTGGACATGATGCTGGGAAAATGGTTCTATATTACCCTACTTGAGCAGGACTTGGACAAGATGACCTCTAGAGGTCCCTTCCCACCATGAATTTTCTTCACTCCTGTGAGTCTAGCTGGTTAGGCTGCCATAAACCCCAATTTTTCCACTTCCTGAAGGAGTAAACAGCCGTGTCTTGAAGAGCATTCCCACTACATTCTCTTCTTCCAATTACTCATTTCAAGGAAATCACTTAGCTAGCTGTTTCTGAGAAGCTCATTTATTTATCGATATGCTGGACCTACTCTGAGGAAGAAGAAAGGAATTGACTAAGGAAAGCAGAGATGATTCATGCAAGAATCCCAAAGAGGCTGAGCTGGAACATATCTACCTTCACCTTGCTGAAATACAGACTGCTGTGGACATCAAAGCAGAAATTTGACTGCCTATAGAATTAATCAGGCATTTTAAGAACTGTGTCTTTTCAATCAGGTGAAACAGACGTCACTCCTGCTGTCCAAGTATTTGGTGTTTTGGTAATCAAAATAAGAGTTATTGGGGTGATAACATACAATTAATTTTTATCTATATTTTTTTAAATTTGAAGAATAACTAGTTAAGTTAAAATTCTATGACAAATAGGTCACTCGAAGTAACTGCTGGGGAAAATTTGAAGGATATCAGAAGTAGCATTCTGTCTACTAGTTATCCTTGTCTAAAGACTACTTTTTTTTCTATTGATGTCAGAAAATCTTTTCTACTTACTCTCTATCTTTAGATGCTCACCTGACATACAGGAACCCAGGACCTCAATTCTGTAAATAGAGAACTGAAATATCCAGGTTAATTGATGTTAAATGCAAAGCAGTAATTTATCATTAACACCTGACAAATTGTCTTTAGCATGTTTTTATTACCTTATCTTTCACTTGGTAAATTTTATGCCAACTAACACAGAAGATGAAAATTAACTTTCAAACTCTGGTCTGGTTCTGCAATCTAAAGTTTAGTTTGAGGGATCCAAAAAACCCTCAAAATCTTGGACTGGCTGCAGGAATCAGTCACATATTCCATTTCCAGTTAAAACTAGTCCCATAGATCAGTGCCTTGAAATTCCCTTAGCTTGCTTGAGGATGTTCCCCAAAAAGGAAAACATGCTAGCAGTTTGGAAAAAGAATAAAAGTATTTGAAGTAAATTCCAAGTATTCATTTCAATTAATAGAACTAATGTTAGTTTAAGTTCAAAAACATCTAGTGTGGGAGAATTTACATGCTCTGTGATGTTTCTAGACCATGGAATACCCACAGAAAGGTATACATAGAAAAAAATAGGTACAGAGAAAAAGCATTTGGCAGAACTTCACTCTGGTTGCACATGAGCCTTTTCTCATTTATACAGTTCACTGTCTTCAAAGCATCCCAAGTCATTTTCTTTCCAGCCCACAATCAAAGTACACTTTCTGTTGATATCCCCTGTGGCTTTTCCCTTTCAGCTTGCTACAAATTTATTATGCCTTATAAACACTCCTACTAAATAACAATCAACAACAGGTAATGTGTTTGAATCAGCATCTAAGTTCTCTACTGTATCTTGTCATAGGATTGTTTGGAATATTATCATGAAACTAAACTACCACAGGCATGACCTTGCAAAGATGCAAGTTCATCCCAGATCCAG